CCCCTCTTGGCATTCCATTTGTCTCAAGATCTTAATCTGTGTTGTATATTTATGGCCAGATAATTCTATCTTCAATTGCTTCAGAGAACTCATGTTGTGGGCACAAGCTTTAAACCTTTGAGTTATGGGAAGAGAAACTTGTCTTAATGAGCTGAACTAAACGTCTTTTTAAAATAACCATTCTGGTCCCTATGTCCTCATTCAGTTGGATCCAGCTGTGTTAAAAAGGCAATCTAATACTGCCTCTTACCTAACAGGAATGCTGCTTTAATTTCAATGTGTCCTGTTGTCACATCTGCCCAGGTGCTCAGCTCTCCTGTGTGACTGAATTGTAAACACTGCCTTGGAGTTGTCTGTTTACTTGTCCACTTCCTAGATTAGATTGTGATCAAGACAAAATTCCTGGTACCTGGCATGATGCCCAATAAAGTTAGGTGTTCTGACCAGTAAATGAATGAGGATAAGCAAATAACATTAGAACCCAAACACACTCATTCATTCTTTCTTTCCACATATAATTATTGGAAAACTGTAGAGTGCCTGGCACAGAGCTAGGCACTTGGGCTGGGTAAGTGTGGCCCAAAACAGACAAGCAAACTGCTCCAATAGGCTTAGAGTTGGGGGTGAGGAGCAAACAATGATTAAGGAATCACATAAAACAGTGTTTAGTTACCAATTGAGACAAATGCTTCGAAACAAAGAAGCATGTGACAAATAAGCCTGGCCTGGATTTGGGGGCTGGGAAGGCTCCCCAAAGAAAGTAGCACTTGATAGCTGAAGGATGAAGAGGGATTCACCAGAGCCAGGCGGTGGGGCAGAAAGGAAAGCATCTCAGGCTGAGAAAATGGCCTGGGCAAAGGCTGTGTGGTGGGAGGAAACATGGTGTGCTGGACCACAGAGATTTCCAGAAAAGGTAAACCTGGGAAGGCAGGTCATGATTAGACGATTCATGGCCTAGCAGGCTTCATTGATGCTGCTGTTCTTTAAGAGCAGTGGTTAGCATTTTAATGGTTGTATGGGAGGTTTAGGAGAGTGCAGATTTGCACTTTATAAGGATCACTCTGTTCTCATTATTTTGCAAAAGTAAAGGGAAAAAAAATCAAATATTTATTCTCACTTTGCTATATAATCTATCTCAGAGCAACTGAATAACACAGGAAGGGAAGTTTCTCTGTAGGAGTGTTCCAGCTAACACATGAGGAGGAGTGATAGGATACCAGCTTTTTGAAGTCCTTAATGAATTATGTGTCCAGGCAATAATTATCAGTAGCTGTTAACATCACAAAAAGAGAGATAAGCAGATATTATGTGATTACTGGAAGAATACAATACCACCATTTGGTAAACTTGTCAAAAAATCAAACCTGAATCTGACCAAGCTTCTAGGCCTGACTAGCATACCATATTTTCAGGAAATGGGAGGGACAGAGGAATGTACTACCCACATCACCATGGAGATGCAATAAGTAAAGTACAGATCTTGGAAAATTCTATAGCACGAACAACTTGGATTATTTCAACAAAGAAATTGCAAGGAGGAGAAAAAAGAGGTGGAGGGGAAACCTATAGATGAAAAAATTTACATAAATGTGTAGACCCTATTTGGATTCTGATTTGAACACATTTAAAACAAAACATTTAGCAGACAGTTGGGATAATTTGAACACTGGCTGGATATTTAAGGGTATTGAGGGATTATTATGAATTATTCTTATTATACAATGTTACTTTGATTATGTTTAAAGAACAACAGAGTCCTATCTTTTAAAGATACACACTGAAATATTTATGAAAATGAATGATCTGGGATTTGCTTCCAAGGGGGAGTACAAGTGGCTAAATGTTGAAAATGAGTGATGGGTCCATGTTAATTCATTTTACCTTTCTTTCTACTTTTGTTTGTACTTGACATTTTTCATTATAAAAGGTTTTGAAAAGATATTGAGGGGGGGAGCAAGAGATTGTCCTGGGTTTGACTTTTTCCCTTCCCCTCCCAAGTCAAGTCCTTAGTGTATGTCCATGTGGAAATTTTATCAACTGTTCACATTTTAATTATTAATATATTGACATTTTAATTTTAATATCTTGATATATTAGTATATTTTAATGCCCATTAGGAGCTTAATCTTTTGGAAAATTAATAGTGTTAATTGTGAAAAATTTGGATATTTGAAATAAATCTAATAAATACAATAAATAGCACTGATAATTCCATCACCCTGGAAGGGCTATAGTTTATTGTTGGTATTTTGGGGTATTCAGTCACATTGAGAAAAAAATATATACAAATAATATTTTCCCAAGGCATTAGAAATTTTTTTATAAGCAAATTTTAGTGGTCATTACTATATCATATAGACATTAATGGTAAACATTTAATTAATAAGTTCCCTCTTATTGGACATTTAGTTTTGTGTGGTTTATTTATTTTTAAATTCTTACTGTGTAAATGATGCTCTAATGAAAAGCCTGATAGATATATCTTTGCGATCACTTCCTTAGAGGAAATTCCTATAATTGAATAGCTGGGTCGATAAGCATGTATTTTTACAGCACTTGATACATAGCCTTACCAAATGTTGACACATACTTGCTCGTGACCCGCCTCCCCCCTGTAAGTTGTGTATGAGAATGCTTGTTTTTTTCTGTGCCTTCATCAACTCTGAATATTTCTGTAATTTTTTGGGCCAGTTTGTTGATGAAAAATGGTATTAAATTGCTTTAATTTGCATTTCTCTGATTACCATTGAGCTCAAACATTTATTCATTACTATATTAGTCTTTCAATTACCAGATGTGTCCTTTGTACAATTTTCTATTTGTACATTCTTTTCATTATTGATTGTACATAATCTTCACATATTTAGGGAAGTATCATTTTGTTAGTCATATTGCAACAATTTTCCCTACATATTTTTAAATTCATGGTATTTTCTGGTATAAATTTCTTTGTATTTTTATATTTTCAGATTGATTACTCTTTTTGTTCATGGATTCTCTCTTTGGTATTATGAAATCCTTATCATTTCAAAATTACTATATTTGACTTTTTCCCCTTATTGTTTTACTTCTACATTTGAGTCTTTAACTCACATATAACTTATCTTGCTATATTATTTAGAATAGAAATCTAACATGATTTTTCTAGTAGTGATCAATTGTCCCAGAAATTGCACAATTTTTCTCTCTGATTTAAATTACTCTCTGCCTCATATATTAAGATCTTTTGTATATGGACTTTCCATACCCTTTCAATGCCATTCTATCTAATCTTGAGCCAGTATTTTAAGACTTGCAGCTTTATAGATTTTTAAAACTATATAGTATCAATACTTTTTTTTCACTTTATTCTGTTAGGAAGAAATACCTGGCCTTTCCTCCTCTTTTAATCTTCCAAATGGCTTTCTTACTCTTGTTAAGTCCAACAAGAATGTTCTTGTGATTTTGAGTGGGATGATATTAGACCTATTGAGGAGAAATTGGATATTTTTAAATTAGCCATTCTTCTCATCCAGTAATGAATCATTATTCATAGTATTCTGTTATGTTTTTTAGATAAAGATTTGTATAGGCCCTGAATCTTTCTTGTTAATTCCTAGGTATTTTATATTTGGTGATGTTATTGTGATAAGCATCACAAAAATGTAACAATTTTATTGAGATGTATACCATTTTTGAACTTCTTTTGAAAGCTGATCTAACTATTAGGCACAAAGTATACATATGGCCTTAATACTACTTTTAGTTTCCTATTTTATCTTTTTAAGGGTGATACTGACTGCCTGCTGTTCCATATTGATTTTTAAGACAGCAAGCAGGTTTTATGTAGTGCAGTGATGTTTGTTTTTTTTTATTTTTTTTATTTTTTTAATTGCTTAAAGTATTACAAAGAGTATTACATATGTCTCCTTTTTTTTCCCCGCCCTTGACAATCCCCCAGCCTCCCCTACCCCCCAGTGTCTTATGTCCATTGGTTATGCTTATATGCATGCATACAAGTCCTTCGACA